TGGGAGATGAAGGTGGAGGCTGGGTTTTAGAGATTTTTCTCTGCCAGACTTGGAGTTGATGTATGGGGCAGGAGGGAGCCATGGTGGTGGATGAATGACATCTTTTAATTAAATTAATCTGGCAACACTGCAGAGGTGAGACTAGAAGAGTCTGGAATCATTAAGCTGATTGTATTGATTCATATCTGCAGCCCTGTGGTCCATAATCCTGGTGGGAATTGAGAAGGCTCCATCCAATTTAAAAAGGGACTAGCCACAAGAGTGAGGAGAATTTAAATGCTGGAAACGATTTCACAAAGTGCTGTTTTGTTCCTCAGCTCGTCCCTTCCCTCTCAGGCGGTTATTTATTAAATCATCTCGGATGTTTAAAGCTCTTTTTGCTGTTCCTAAGCTGCTTAACATTTCTCTATCTCTTATAAAGGGCAGTCTCCATAACCTCTCCCCATCGAGTCCTCATCGTTTTTCCTTTTAATCTTAAACGAGAAACGTGCTCCGCGGGCGCTCTGGTTGTTAATTGCAATGTCATCGGTGAAGCTTGCATGGTGGCATTGTAATTACCTCCCTGTATCGTCTTAATTCCCACCCCTCCCTTGTTCACATCAGAAATGGAAAATATCTGTTCAACTCCTTGATCTCAGCAATTAGCTAAGTGGCAGGCAGCTGGTTGTCTGGGGGCGGGCTCAAGTGCTTAATCATCTTTGTTCAGGTCTGCATGGGGATCATCTCGAGCAACAACACCTGTAACTAGTGTGTCGTTGCAGGCACATTCTTCAAGAGCTGTGGTTTTCAACGTGTGGTCCCCAGATGACCAGTGACATCTGGGAAATGCAGATTCTCAGGACGCCTTCCCAGACCTGCTGTGTCAGGAGCTCTAGGAGGTGGGGTCCCCCAGTGTTTTAACAAGCCCTCCTAGTGCATGATAAAGTTTGAGAAACACCATTCTGGAGACATATTTTCAAAGGGTTGGGCAGCCAGGCTCAGAGAGTTAGGAAAACAGACTACAGAAAACAGCAGGGAAGTTTAGAGGCTAAGAAGAAAGGCAATTATTTCCTTCTTGGAGATGATTCAGACATCACAGCTGCTAGAAGTGAGATTTCTGTCCTCAGCCCCCTGCCCTTTGCAAGAAAACCTGAGTAGTCATTGGTTGCCTCATGCTTTGGAAAGACAGGTTTTTATGGTCTTCAGGAAGGACTGTTGGATCTTCCTCCTCAAGGGTCTTCATCTAATCTATATTGTTAAGTAGGTGAAGAAAGAGACATATGTCCCACTTTGAGTGAGTCTCGTTTTCCTCTATAGATATGTCCAAATACTGAGGCTCTGCTTGCTTGATGGTCAGGAGGAGATCGGAGTTTGTATTTCAACCTCTGTCCTACACGCAACATTTATGCCATAAGAAGCAGCTCTTTATTGAGAGTCTTTTCAAGGCGCCCCAATCATAGAGTCCTGATCAAAATGCTAAATTTGACTAAGGTTTTAGTATCACACTTGATCCATGGGCTGTGGGAGCCTGCGTAAGCCATCAGCTTACCAAGTATCTCATGTCCTCCAGCAAGTCATTAGCTAACCAAGAGCAGTTTAGAGAAAGTCAGTTTTCTACTACCAGGATCAGAACTAGCATTTTTAATTCAGTTCTTAAAACTCTACTTTTTTTTTCTGTTGGCATCATAAAGAGCCTCTTCCATGGTGGGCATGCCTCATCAGAGTGGCAATCCAAATTTAAGTGTGTGATTCAGTCACTCTCCTTTGTAAAGAAAAAATAAAAAGAGATTTCTTTTCTAGCTCTTAGAACTTCTGGATGAGGAACTCTTCCATTTTACACAAAAAGGAAGAGGAGTTTGTATTTCATCCTCTGTCCTACAATGAGCATTAATCATGAAGATGAAGTCTCTTTGGGAGGAAAATAAACCCTGGCTGATATGGCCAAACCCTTTTGTTGTTGAATCCTGTATTTTCTTTTTATGAGATCAATGAACTTCTCCATGGGTTGTTTCCATTTGGGGGCATGAAATGTGGGGCTTTAGAATTTCTGCTCAGTGGTCTCTGGTTGTGTGTGTCCATGGCCTGAGGGTGCTCAGAGGATTTATCTCAGAGGGGATGCTGATCGACCGTTCTGTTGCCGCTTGAGAAACCTAGGCAGGACAGTTCTTCTTGGGCTCTCGTGGCAAGTAGGAAAGAGCTGAAAGGGGTAGAAAACAGACTCCCTGACCACTCTGGTCCTACCTGGGTCCCAGGAGCTGGCCCTCTTTTGTCCCAGAGGTTCCTGCTTCTCCCCTTCTTCGTTGTCTCAGTGGGAGTGTGTTCATGTTATTGGTGAGCTTCAGCCAGAGGGAGAGCCACCAGCACCAGCAGCATAATTTACTTTCAGCTCAAAGTCTAAGACTCAAGGAATGATCTAAAACAATGATTAAATCAGTCCTCTAAATTTTTGAAAGAAAGACTAGAGAAGAGGTCTGCTATGATTTCAACATTGTTCTGTGCAAATCAGGGGTACTGTTGAGGTATATTTTTCAACACAGTGTCCTGAAGCGTCAAGTCCTCTCATTGCTGCCTTTGGGTGTTGGCAGTTCAGGAGGGAGCAATGGAAATGACGAGGAAGGCGAGGAAGAGTGGAAATAGGTTGCTACAGCCTAATTCCTTATATTGTTTTAAACATCTACTTCCATTTATGTTGAACCAGAATATCCTCAGTGGCACTGAACCTCTCTCTCCACTGTTCCAGTCTCTTCTGAAGCCTAGCAAATGCTTCTTCTACCAGGTATATTTCAGGGTTACTACCAAATTAACCACAGAGGCCACGGAGTTAATAGGAGCTAGGGAACTCAACAGGACCCCCAAATATGCCACCAGTAACTATTGTGAGGGCAATAGTAATGTTATTGTTTGGCCTTGGTAAAGTAATAGTGGATTTTCTATGACTTGGGAACTGACACTTTCTCTCTGACCCCTTGATTGTGTACACATCAATCTTGATGAAGACAAATTTATAATGCGCAGCTAAGTCACTGCTAGCACCAGTGAAGACGTGAGTGCAATATAGTATTTACCAACAGAGCAACAGAGCCCCCCCATCCTCAATCTCTTGCTCACTTAGACACACACAAACACACACATACGCGCACACACACGCACACACACACACTCACCCTTCAGAAGCACATCTTACATGGCACAGAGATGCATTGTCTCTTCATCCCTTGGGATCTACAGTAGACTTGGTAAACCTGGTTCATGCACTTCTTTTCACGGCAACTAGAGTAGCTACGAACTCTGACACCTGTGGACCTTGCGGGTGTTGTTCCTGGAACAAAATGCCCTCATGGGCTTGGGAATTGCAGAAATGTCACGTGTTAACTCTAGGCCTGGATTCTTCTTTTTCATTGACTCAATCAGTCCCTGAGGAGGAGAGCAGGTTCAGAGCAGTGGTAGTCTGTGGTGTTTAGATTCTTTGGCTCCTGTCTCCTTTCAGCATCGGACTGCACAAATTCCATGCTGTCTTTCCTCCCCCTTTCTCTTAGTGAAAAACCTAGCAGTCATCATTTCCTTTATACAAGAACTGTTTTTCAGTGTTTCTCTTTTGTTCAGTCTGCTTAGTTTGTAAGTGTGACCGTAGATTCCTCTTAACGCTGGTCTGGAGGTTTTTCCGCGGATTTGTGATTTGGCAGATGACGGAGGGCATGTTTGACTTGTGATATAGATGCAGAATGGAAAAACCTGGTGCATGTAATACAGTCGCAGAGTCCCACAGACTGACCCACCGTGCCCCTCGGGGGGCCCTGCATTTCCCGAACTGCACAGATTCCTGCCTGTTGAACAACCAAGCATTGTCCTTACAGAAGTACAACTATACTAACTGGTATCGCACACAGCGATTTCCAAAGTGGTGATACTTGAAAATCCTCCATCCTTCACTTGTCAAGCTATCCCTCTCCTAGCCCTGAGGTCCATGTTGCTTCCCATCCGGGGAAAGTACTCGACGTCTCCCCATTCTCCCTTCTCCCTTCTCTCACCTCACCATCTTGATGTTCCTGGCCTGAGTGCTACCATTTGCTTACTGATAACAGTATACTATGAATTTTCATCCACAGCTTTGAGATGCTTATGAGGCTTTCCTGCTTCCCACCCAGCCCCAACCTTGGGACTTTTCCCACACTGATCCTCTGATCAGTCTGAAGCGGGAAAGCACACGGAAGCCGTGTACCAGTTTGTATAGTCGTGCCCTCTTGACCTGCCTCCTCTTGAACAAAGTAGCGTGTGCTGGGGGTTTGCATTGGCTGCTTGACACACACCAAGCCAATTCACCTGCATGCCAGAAAAAAAAAATTAACCCTTAGAGTACTGCTTCAATATTTTGGTTTAATGCTCTTGAATTTTGCCAGTTGAGCAACTGCTTCCTTCCCCAGATCAGAGTGCTGCCTGTAAGTCCTTATTTAGTCTAGCCAGAACGTCCACCAGGATCCTCTCCACCACAGCTTTCCTGAGATGCTCCTGGGTCCTTTATTATTAACCAACTGGTGGGTTTAAAAAAATAAAGGTCCAAAACACAGCCACTGTGTTGAATTGAAAATGGGCTTCACTTCCATTGTGCTGGAGGGTGTGAGGGACTGATTTTTAGCTTAGGGTTGTGTCCTCTAAAAGAAAGAAGTCAGTTCTTTAAGGGTTAATATGAAATTAAGGAATTTGGTGGTCTCTTCTGCTTGTCCTTTCTCCAAGGTATCTGCATGATCCTCTTTAGATTCTTAGCTCAACTGTTGAATGATGATGAAAATAATACGTGTTTAACGTGGCGAAAACACATAAAAGAACAAAAGACTGAATGGTTGAATGGAAAAGACCCCTTGGCAATGCTTGCTTGACGATCACAGTGGGTAGAAAGACCAAATGTTTTATTTTGTGAACATTCATTTTGTCCTCCACCCCAAGCCCCACCACTGCACAGCAACGTGGGAGACGTGACGATGCTTTTCATTTACCTCTTGCTTTTTCTTCTTCCTGTCTAATAGCCCAATAGAATCCTGCCAGAATTTCTACAAAGATTTCACATTACAGATCGACATGGCTTTCAACGTGTTCTTCCTTCTCTACTTTGGCTTGCGGGTGAGTTTGAACCACATGACGGGGTGTGTTCAGTATCACGATGGGGCGTGCAGTGTCGTACCCGGGGCCCAGTCCCCATTGGCACCTGCTCTCACAGGCAAGATGAAGCCCCGTGTTTCCAGGGGTGACAGCAGACCCACATTCTGATTTTCAGTCCATGAGAGAGGCCATTCCTTGGTTCAGCATTTCCTGAAGTATGTTAATTTTGTTCCGAGGGGGAGAGACAGGGATTCAAGTAACCGTTGTACCTCTACCGGTCCACTGTTTCTCATCTCTCTATTCAAACATGAATGCATCATTGCCTTAAATAGGAGGAAAAAAGTCTTCTGCTTTTAAAATTATGTTTATCAGTGCTCACTTAGTTGAATCGTGAGGGAACAGCGAGTTGTGAGGGTCAACTCAAGGGGGTTGATTGGCAGAATTTGGGGTTTGGAGGATTTATACTAGACCCTGTGTATGAAGGAAGCGGTGCAGAATGTGG